TGATGCCAAGCCTATGCCACTGTGGCTTTTGTTGCATTGTTAGTTTGTTGACTTTCTTTGTGTGACATAGAATAAGATAGAATAAGAAAAAAAAACAGTGGTACATGGTTAATCTGACTTGATGAACAACAGAACTAATTCAAGTCTACATCCTCTTTTGAGCTGCCTATCATACATACATTTTTTAAAGAAAGATCTAAATTGCACATGATCCAGTGTGGTGTCCTTACTTAAATAAAGACCACAAAGTTTCAATGTCTCAATCTTCTTTTATTATTATATCTTAACGAGGCCTGGTAGCTAGGATACATTGACGATGACATATCAAAATCCTGAAACAATTAAATGAGAGGCCCAAAAAGAGATACATTCTTTAAGGTCAGTCCGAGTTTTTGGTTGGTTTTTGGAACAGATTCATCAGAATTATTACCTTTTAATATTGAGATTTTATTACCGAGTCAGCATCACCTACACAGCATCCAATTAATTACATTTCCATAACAATTTCACATTCAAATAAGCATAGAATGGCATCTTTATGTGAAATTGTAATATAACATACAAATTTTCAGTCTTTTAAACAACAGATTTTATTTTTTTTTATAAAAAACAACACCATGTTTATGTTTATAATTATTATTATTATTATTATTATCATTATTATTACAAATCAACTGCTCCACCCGTCCAGCTACAAAGGCATGGAAGTATGCACATAAAAGAGACCTCACTCATAAAATAGAAGGATATTGGTGTTGTTCTACTGGTGGTGTTTAAATAAAACAAGAATATAAGAATAATTTAGAATATATGGAATACTTATTATAGGAAATTACATTAATACATTACAACTACACATCAATTGCTTGCCATGCTGCTGTAACAAAAAAAATTAATCAGTCCATGTAAGTATATTACAGTGTAAAGTCTTTGCAAAGTAAAACACAACAACAAAAAATAGATGCACTTTCCATGACAAAATACTCAGGAGAAAGTATATGTTGCAGACTACATAATGTTAATAAAACATGCATACAAAGTTTTGAAGTAGTTGTTATTCTGTCTGCAATGTTTTCACTTTGGCTATAGCATACATTGCCTTGTTCCACCAGGATTTGTTCTTTCATCCCTCTAAAGCTGTCTAAGCCCAGACGCAGGCTAAATGAGCATGCCCACTCATGAATGCTGTTGGTTAATTACAATCCCTGATGGAAAAACCGTTGAAGGAGAAGCCCGAACACAGCCACACGTTAGGATAGAAACAGAAGTGTTTTTTTTATTATTATTAAAAACACTAAATGTATGTGTTCAAGTGTATATAAATGTCATTAAATAAATAAAAAAGGTGCAATTTTGTCCGGTCCTCCACACAGCATAGAGAAGCATTCAGCATGTGCTTCAATTTGATTTACAAAAATTAAATTGATGTGTTGAAGGGGGTTTTTGAAAGGCCTTATTACAGTTACTGTGTTGGATGCAGAGGCACTGCAGTATCTGAGAGTGGGATCTATTGCCAACAGTGGTACAGATTGACATTTACATACAGTATGTTGAAGGTATTTAACTACCGGCTGCAGTGAACATGGGAATAAATTAATGTTGGGAAAAAAAATAATTGAACAACTGTTGGCTATAACCTACGGTAAATTCAAGTAAATTTTAGTTTGTCATTGCCGTTTTGTCCGGCTAGAGTGACCAAATTACACATCAACACCAAAGAGGAATCAAGGATGTAAAATTCAATTTAATGTTTAACTAGTAAGAAGAACAAAATATCATTATATAATGAACACACAGTAGCATGCTGCAGATAATATCATTCAGTAATGGAGATTGTGCATCTTGAATCCTGATACCTGCAACACTAAATTCACTAAATTGTTAAACTGAATTTCACACAGTGAATTTCTATGCTACCTTTCTGTGGTTAACCAAATGTGTGCTCCAAATGCCACATTACTCTATTTAAGCAAAAAGCTCCCGGTTTCTGTAAAGGAACTCTATGCCACACATAAATTATTCAGTAGTATTTGCATTTGCATTGTAATTTGCATTCTTGTAGATTACAGAGAATGGAGAAGGAGGCGCTGCGCCAAAGAGAATTACATTCTGAACCAATTTCTGCCTTACTGGTGAGGAGTTGACATGGATTTTTGTTCTATTTTCCTTCGCTGCTTCGAGGTATACTGCTGAGATCAGTGACACACATTTCAAACTGTTGTTTGATTAATAAAAGAAGGAAACGATGTATAATGTTCACCAGCGCTCACACACAAAAAGAACTGCCATTAAAAATGAATCGTGACATTGAACAATGAGTCTATTTGATTGACTAGGCTGAGATTTTTACTGTAATATTCTCATCATCTTTATTTATATTGTAAGGCTTGTGAGTTGAAACTCAAAGGAACCAGTAGGCACAGAGGAGATGTCATATGGATTAAACACTAGGAAGGGGTGTGAAACTCTCACAGTACACTGAAAATCCTGGCTATTATGTTTCATCTAAAAATAACAAGCCTGACTAAAAAGAACAGACAACACAGAATGTGAAAAGAAAAAAAACACAAGCTCCAGAGAGAATAGAGTTCAAACAGCAGCAGTAATAGTGCTGAGTGTGATATGGAATACGACGAAAAAATGTACAGTACGAGACTCGCTTCAATTATAAATGAAAAGGAAATCAGTGCGAAATGTATGGAATAACCCAGATACTAAAATAAAACATTGTCTGTGTCTCTCTGGAGCCACTTTTGTGAAACAATGTCCTGTTTTCAAAATGGTAAAGATTTCATGTGTCTTGATGTAATTCTTATTTTCTCATGTGAATTACTGCATCGCTTTAACTTAATTGCATTCATTGCTGACATCATCATTATTAAACAGCAATCTTTAGAGAGATACCTCCTAGGCCTCAGGGCAGAATCGTAATTAACAGGAGAAATGTGCAAGAGAGTAGACTGAGACAGTGTGGAAGCACGGTTCTGCAGTGTGTGTGTGTGTGTGTCTACATGCCATGAGGGGCTGGTATGATGCATCAAGGGGGTGGGGTAGGTATCCCTGCAATAAGAGAGGAGGGTTTAGCCAACGTATGCGCATGTGCAAATACAGCCTAGCACTTATATACCCACATGTTGATGTACATGACACTCTGTGCCTACAGTTGCAAACACAAATGCACAAACGTGTACTCTGTGTTTGAGTGTTCAGCATTTGATTGTGTGCCTGAACCATTCTGCATGTTATTCTTATTTTAGATTAATGGAATTAGGTTTTGACATTTGATGTGCCTCACTTTCTCGTTAATACAGTATTTTAAGAACTCTCATCCAATGCAAAAAGCAGGAGAGAGACTGAATTCATCAGAGTTACTGTAAGTAATATCACTGAGAGTAAATTATTGGTGCACCTTACAGATAATTCCTCATTCAGGGTTATTTTATTGAGATTTCCTCTCATTTAGCACCTCAGTGCATTATGAAACAAACCAAAATCTCCTTTGTAGTGATGGAGATAAAAACTATGTTTTACTGTCTATTAAGTTAGTGTTTACTTAACAGACAAATAGTCCATAGGAAGTACACTGTAAGTTTAGGTAAACATATGAGTAAGACAATTATAATTTCTGAAAACGCCTCCCTTATTGATTTATTTGATAACTGAATTAATTGTTTGTGTGTTTTAATGTTGTAAGTGATGTACATAGCACTATGCATAATTGTACTTAAAACAGCAGCAGTACCTCATATTGTTTCCATGAAAATGCCATGGACTGTGTTCCACAAAACAAATCCTTACTCCAACTTTCATATATAGGCGTAGTAGTAGTAGTAAGTAGAGTACAGGAACGCAAAGTAAAACATCAATTCCAGAAACAGATGTGGAAAACTATAAAATACTGTATGACAAAATAGTAACACTCAAATAAACTACCAGGACCTTAAAATGATATTTGGTACATAGGGAGGGTCCAGTGTCCACCTCCACCTCACTGAAACATACAAAAGAAAACACTCCTGTACTTTTGTTACTTTGTCACCTAATCACAAGCCTTAAAACGTATATATATATATATATATATAGTTATATACATATATAGTTATATACATATATATTTATATATTTGTTCTTAATATATGTTGTTTGCATATTTGTTCTTAATATATGTTGT